AACCAAAACGAAATAAAGGCGAAACCGCTCGTGGAGTACCAGCCTTCAGCTCAGATATAAATTTACCCAGGTCGGTCCCTTCCTATTTGTAGGTCTGGAAAGCAAAATTCCCAGACAGGCCTGATCTCTGTCATCGCGCTCGTCGCTCTCACATATAAAATTCATCGGAGCTTCGAGCGAAGATGGTAGAGCACCACTGCTTGCGTGCTCAGCAAAGTAACTATCTGAGAATTGACCTCTAGGGAAGATCCGGGAGAAACACGGATGTATGAGGAATACGTCCAATATTTCGCTTCCCTATTCAGACATATGCCACTCCCTTCCCGAATCGGCCACATCCCCGCCTCCGAGAACATTTTCCTTTCAGGAATTCAGAAAAAGGATTCTAACCATCCATCAACGGCAGTTCAATTGCACGTGAATTGCACGAATCCTGGTAAACCACCGGAAACGTTTGATGTGCGATTTTCGCTGGCAGCAGCGAAATTGCCGGAAAGCAGATGAAAAGACTAAAGTGGAAAAATCAGTGAAAACTTAGCCAAAGTATTGGTTGAGTATCATTAGTAGACGGTACAGGGGTACACGAGACCTGGGCGGGCGGAGTACACAACAGGCATGTGATCTGTTGAGGNGTTCAATTGCACGTGAATTGCACGAATCCTGGTAAACCACCGGAAACGTTTGATGTGCGATTTTCGCTAGCAGCAGCGAAAACGCTGGAAAGCAGATGAAAAGACTGAAGTGGAAAACTCAGTGAAAACTTAGCCAAAGTATTTGTTGAGTATCATTAGTAGACGGTACAGGGGTACACGAGACCTGGGCGGGCGGAGTACACAACAGGCATGTGATCTGTTGAGGACGAAAAAACAAACTGCCGACCGGCTGTCGCCTGTTACGAGATGTAGAGACATGGCTTACCGACAGATGATCAGTGATTCATCGTGGTGATGATCACATCGCCCCCATAGTCTGGCTGGCGGCAGCTGTCTAACGCAACCACTTCATAGTGATACCTATGGAGCCTCACCCCGCCAATAGCCAAAGTCATAAAAGTTCAAAAGTCAAGGTAAAAATAATTCTAACTAAGACGACTTTTTCGAACGGCTCGTATATTCTCGAATATGACCATATGACTAGCGAAGGGTCTAGAAAAAGTAAAATTACGGAAGGCTCAAAACATAAATAAACAATATCTGCCACAAAAATCCCTCTCGAATGCACACATTTCATTTATCGTAGAACAGAGGTGTTTAGGCCGAGTCCGAAGCCTTCTTCAATACCGAAATTGCTCTGGTGTGCCTTAACCTTCTCTGAAATATGACTAATCTGCGACTTCGAAAAATCGGAGGAGTAGGACTTGCCGAGAGATTACAGTCCGCAGAGCCGGAAAAATCACAGAAAGAATCAGATATGCATCAATTCATTAGGCCTTGCCCTCACTGTTTTGGGAGGAGCGTTGTCATCCTGATCGATACTTATTGTTTACTTATTGTTCCACTCAAAGAAGAAATCGAAGGAGGCGAAGATCGATCATGCTTTTTAAGGCAGACAGACAACTTTTTGAGCCATTAGAACGATCGTTCCTGAATTAGTAGGATAGTTCCAACTTGAGAGTCAAAGGGAAATGGCATGGTTGTAGTGGAAGGATGGAAGTTAGTCTTGATGAAGAATACACGGCCCAATACCACCTCTTAGAAGTACTCCTAACAAAATTTTCCATTTCAAATTACAGATTAAAGTTCGAACATCAACTTCTGAAAAATTCTACTGCCTCTCAGAAATCTATAAGAAAAACTTCGTTTTAAAAACCAATCCAATCACAGCTTTTAAAGGCATCAGAACTATCAACTTGAAAAGGTGGACCGGAATAATTAAAAGTTAATATTTGAACTGGTATTTGACAACGTCGACGCTTTCGCAGTAGGAGTATATCCCTAGTGAAATCAGCTGCAATTGATGGCACAGCGCCAAAACAATCAGCCAGACCTTCAAAAAGCACCACCCTCGACAGATCAAAGTTCAGTTAATCCCAATATTTGAATATGACGGGACTGAATAAAAGATATTAGAATGCCATCGGCCGTTGTTTACCAATTTTTTCCTCACAAATCCTTCAAAGTATTGCGACACAAAAGATTTTATTTTTTGCTAACACCAAATTTCATGATACTACCTCATCAACCTCTTACCATAGTAACCTGACGGGAGCATTAACCCAGTTAATTCACACTTACCAATGAGAAAATGCTAAGAAGGAAAACAATAGAGCAAAATTCCGACCCATTTGCATAATAGGTATCCGCCTGTCTTCCTATGGGCTCTTGCTAGATCGTTCCACACCGAAGAGTATAATGAAATGATTAATATGAAACGATTGAAAAATTGAAAAAGTATAACCAATCAAGTACTACGGGACACCCGGAGAACACCCAGCCACTAGCTGAAT